TGTAAGGGAGAGCCCATCTCCTTGGTGCTTCATCTTCAGTGTAGCCTCAGTGTCCAGGTATCGCTGGCCTGGCCACACCTCCCGGGGGGGCCGTGTAGGATACTGAGCCTGGTCCTCCTAACGCCTTTATTACTGTGAGATCTTTGCCACTGACGCGTTCGTGCAGTACGTAACCTGTGTCTTTGTGTCACTCCTACGGTGGTGTCGAAACGCTGGAGAAATTCGGGAAACTGCAATGGAAATGGACACGAGGAACGCTCCTCATATTCTTACCGGTATTTGTGAGTCCTGTAGAATGAATGTGACGTCTGCATATTAAGTGGGAATATTGCCTTTAACCTGCTGGAAACCTTAAATACACACACTGGACCTTCTAACCCTGCCTGTCTCGTTTGTTTCTGCTGCTGGACATGGGCCAGGGCATCCAGCCATCGCACACTCACTCCCGTGAACATCTCAGCACCTGTGTAGCTATCTAACCACTGAAACAGAAGCCAGAGTTGTGGTAAACATCTACATCAGGTGGAGATATGGAGGTGGACCAGGTCAGGGGGGCGGCACCGTGGTGTAGTGGATAGGCACATCGATTCCTCTAGGACATTGTTTCTCAACCCAGTCCTCAGCGAACCCCAGCCAGTCCACGTTTTTGCTCCCTCCCAGCGCACCTGTACCAGCTATTCGATGTTCCTGATTGGCTGGGAGCTGGGAGGGAGCAAAAACGTGGACTGGGTTGAGAAACATTGCTCTAGGACCAGGGTTCAACTCTCCCTGCGATGGGTTGGTGCCCCATCCTGGGTTGTTCCCAACCTTGTGCCTGTAGCTTCTGGGATAGACTCCTTACCACCCACAATCTTGAACAGGATAATTAGTTTTAGAGGATGGATGTATGATTGATCAGGTCAGGCTTGGCAAATACAGTCAACACAGTTCTCTCTAAACCCGGTGCAGACCACACACGTAATTTCATGCCCCACAGCATGTCACATTTTAAACTGATATTTATTTAAAGACAGAAACCCATCAGATGCAAATACAAAAAATTAAGATAATACACAACAGAACATTGCTATTTAGTGTTGCATTAATTCTTAGCAAAACCTACAATAAAAGTAGATTTCCCCTTAAAGTATCTTTTACAATAAGCAAGAGTATAAAGCTTCATGCAGTCTGATAAATTTATATAAAACGTATGTTTTTTTTTTTGCATTATTTGATATTAAAATAATACTATGGAATAGCAGATTATTATTTTTTTTCTAAAATACCGGGCCTATGATTGGATTAGAAAGGGGGAAAAAAAAGCTTGTACATTTTAGTAAACCCGCATGCATTTCTCTGCATGCTTTGACACGCTGCAGCTGCACCCATGCACGTATGTGTCACTGATACACTGTTTCATGGGATTAGCCTTCAAAGGTTGCTTTAAAAGAAGGGAAATAAACAATACAGTGGCCTGTCCCACTGGCAGGCAGGGGGAGGGCTGGGGGTTGGGTGCTCTGTGCTGAAAGGCAGTCACCTCACCTCACGATAAACACATTTTTAAAATAAAGCTAAAAATTACAATGTAAACGTTTCCTTTTTAAATAAACATGCTGTGTGTTAAGTCACACATTAGCACAGCGTGGGGGGGGGGGGGCAGAGGAGAAAGACGATGACAGAGGATTTAGGACAGACGTGTAGGTGCGGCCATAATCTGACCAGGGGTGGGGGGTGGTTCCCACCCAAGCACAGACATTGTGCATTCACCCCCCACCGAGGACCGCAACCCGGCCCACGGCGATGATGACGGGGCTCAGAGCCGAGTGCGGCCGGCCAGAAGTCGACCGCTGGGCAGACGGGAAGGGGTCCTCTCACAACAGGAGCTCAGTAACCCCCACGCGAATGCTGACGAGCGAGCTATCAGCAGCAGAACACGGAAAAGCCACGCAAAGCAGAAAACACAAAGTGTTAGAGACAGACACATGAAGACGGCAACACGGAAGGCATTCTCGCATCCGTCGGGTTCCGTTCTTAGGCTGGCTATGGTGATACCCTGCCGGGAAACGCCAGACGCAGGGCAGGCAGCCTAAGATGGGGAAGGGTGTCTTACTGCACTTTCAAGAAGAACCTTAACAGCTCAAAGGGTTCGACCTGAGTGTGTGGGGGGGGGATATATAATTAAGAGCTTGTACGTAGTCTATCCAATAGGCCTAGTGTTCTTGAGTGATATTGCTCATACCTCCTAAACACCTGCAGTGTGAGCGACTGAACACTCCTAAGGAGACCCTCTCCCAAACTGTGTGTGACAAAACACAGTCAAAGGCCTTTGTGGACTTCCGAAAAAGGACCATGGTTCTATAACACTAGATTTTGCAAAGAAATGACACTGGGACTAATACACAAGTGGAAATATGGACCCCAGACTTGAACAAAGGTGGTTTTACATGTAATGAATCCACCATAACTATTTTCTCATGGCATTCTTGAGTATCATGCGGTTTGCTGTCAAATACCGTGATGGGCTGGCAGGAGAGCGCAAAGGGTTAAAGGAGAAGCCTAGCCAAAATTAAGGAGTCAGGTTACTCTAAATAACTTGTGTTGCACACAAAGTTAATCTTATTACCAGCAGGAAGAGGGGCCTGGTGTAATGTCCAGAGATGCAGCACAGTGGAGCTGATCTCTCACATTGGAGCTGATCTCTCACAGTGGAGCTGATCTCTCACAGTGGAGCTGATCTCTCACAGTGGAGCTGATCTCTCACAGTGGAGCTGATCTCTCACAGTGGAGCTGATCTCTCAATCCTGATTCTGTGTGTCCTGTAAATACTATTAAATCTAATGGCTTCTAGATTTTGACCAGACTTCTTCCGGTAACCACAGTGGTGTGTCGCTGTCAGCAGTGATACAGAACCTACCATGTCCCTTAAAACCTGGGTCACAAAAGTGCGTGAGTGACTTTGAATTAAGTGTTTCCCTCATTCTCATGGATATGAGACTGGATGTGTCTCCTATGAAATGTAATGGGGACATTTTGTGTACATCTAAGTGTTTTAAGAGTGGCCATGAAGAAGGTACAGGTTAAGGCGATGCCCTGGGGTCTCAGTGGAATCTCAGTCCCCTCTTCCTCCTGGTGCCCTCTTTAGTGAGGCAGAGGAACGATCACCTCCACGTAGTTCAGTGGGAAGAATCCGGATTGACCCCGCAGCATGCCCTCATACCAGTTCTCGTCGATCTGATTGGTGAGTGTGATGATGTCGCCCTCACGGAAGCCCAACTCGCCCTCGTTCTCCGGCTCAAAGTCGTACAGGGCCTTACAACAAGGCTGCTCTGCACCTGAGGGTGAAGGGGGGGGAGGGGGGGGGACACCAGCTTGAGGTGGGGGCTCATCAGGAAGCAAAAAGCGAGGCAGGCGTTTGAGACCGAGCCACTCAGCAAGGCCGAGTCTGAAGCGTCTCAGCGTTAGAGGCGTCCAGCAGACAGCACTCCTGGGGTAAAGCCCCTAATCGCTTCTCCATGTCTAAACATCTGCGGAAGATCAACGAAAGCCAAGGACTTTCCGACAGCACAGGAGTGGGAGTCTCTGGATGTCTAGGCGCTGCTGGGGGGGGGGGGGGGGGGGGGGGGGGGGGGGGGGGGGGGGGGGGGGGGGGGGGATGGGGGGGTCAGGGCAAAGTGTCGACACAGCCACTGACAATTAGAAGCTCTGCTTTAAGAATCAGGTGGACACAAGACAAGACCAGAACACATCGCACATAAGCAGCAGGCTGGACTCACTTTCAGCACCAGCGTTTGGTTGGTAGGTCCCTAATCCAGCAGAACAGGGACCTCCAGTATTGCTCTTTGCATGGTGATCCCACCCAACCCAGTCCTGTCCCTCCCCCTTCTGACCTACAGCAGCTGAGGGAGTGACTCTCCCTGATCCGGGCCCTGGGAAGCACTCTGAGTTCTGGTAGAATGATTCCGCTGTTGGTTAGTTCTGGAATCCAAGCGAACAGTGTGGGCCCCTTGCCTCCACAGCCCATACTGGGCTTGGCCCAGTCCAGAACATGAAGTGGACTGGATGAAGCTACTGGGTAGCCCGAGCTGCAAAGCCCCAGGCAGGCCCAGTCCTAGTTAGAACGCCACATGACACAGACCTGCCGGGTACACACAGCTGACCCTGCCTGACCCCACCTGACCCCGCGAACTCGGCCACCTGGCACGCTCCGGCACAGAGCACGCGACCCAGAACCGGACGTCATCCAAGCAGAGCCGAGCTCATTACTCACAGCTCCTCTGAGGGCTTCTACAGAACAGCTGGCCCAAGTCAAGGCTGGCATTTCCAGTACAGCGGCTTGCATGAAGACGCCAGCCCACAATTCCCAACCCAGTTCCTTAAACCAGTCCCCCCCCCATAAATACAAATCATTTGAATATAAATCAGATGTAATTAAATCAAGTACAATTTTTTACAACAGTGCAAAGTTACTCATTTGTACGATAACCTATCATAGACTAAAGAATAAAAAGCTATGAATATCCTAAACCCATTTATGTTAAAAATCCTGCTTAATATGTAACATCCTTGTGGGTTTTACTGTTTAGACCACACATGGGACAACATCTAACTGCACTGTTTTCATGCCAGAGGCAAGGAAACACTTAAGATGTGACATCTTTAGCATATATTATGGTTATTACAATTAAACAGGCTACTGAAAAAATTCACGGCAATTTTACGGAACACGACTAGGAGATGCGACTCTCCTATTATCTGAAATAACAGAGTATTCATCGTAATTATTTTCAGACGAGTAAATAACTAGACTTGGCTGTATGTATTTATGCATTATCACAGGTTAGTACTGCGGAATGAAATTTTGCCATTAGCACATGCAATGTGGCAAACCGTCAACATCTCAAGCACAACAGTGGTCTGCTTTTGGCCCACGCAGCCACACACACAGACAAACAAACTCACGGTTTCTGGTCTTTCGGAAGGAAAATCGGCGGCATTGGAAGCGGGAGCCTGCCGACGCCACAGGGAGAGAACACACGGCGGGGTCACTTTAGAATCAGCCAATCGAGCGAGCGGCGTCAGGACTGGCGAATTAATTCGCACACATACGGACGCACACGCGGACGGTTTAATCACAGCGTGACCCGATGCTGCGACTCCGCGGCTATGTGGCTCACGACGGCCAGCATGCCGTCATGGGCGAGTTGCTGGAAGAAAAACACTTTCCATCACGTGAGCAGACGCACAGTGACGCGGCGGAAGGCGCTGGCCGCGGCTCTCACCTGAGGAGCGAGTCGATGGGGTGGAGGGGGCGAAGCCGCCATTCGATTGGTCGTTATCTCTGAAGTCACAGACAGGCCTAGGCTTAGGGGTGTACTCCCGGCGGGGGCGGGACTGCGCCTCGTCGATCCTGCCATGCAGAGCACGCCGTTAACATGCGCGTGACCCTGCGCAGAAGCAGCCAGCCCTGCAGACCCACACTAGAGCCTGTGCCCATGCAGCTGGGATCTGACACTTAACTGCTCTGCTGCAAGCATTGCTGGGATCCAGTCAGACGCTAACCCACGCCTGAAACCCATCCCACGGGTCCACTGGCCAGCCGGCCACACCCACCTGTCCTTCAGTTTGTCTGACAGCTCCTCCAGGATCTGCACGGCCTGCCTGTGGTAATGCAGCTGCGACTCCACCAGCGAGGACAGCTGGCTCACCTGCTCGATCTGCGCAGACGCCCTGGGGGTCAAAACCTCGCAGACAGGCCATCTGTTTCGTTTATCATCATGTCTAACACTAAGTGGCAGTGTAGTATTTCACATGGCTTGAATTGCTGATTACTTAAAGTGTGCTAATCAGGCGTGCTTCAGATATAACCACCTTTCACATACAATGCCTGTTTTCTGTCTGTAGATGGCACTGTATACTGCCCTTTTCATAGAAACAGATATAGATACACATCTCAAAACAGACCAAGGCACCTCAAACACAGGCAGACGCATAAAGGATGTCACTCACATCAGTCTCTAGCAGGTTGTACATGCTTATCTCTGTGGCCTCCTTGGACTCATGGAACTTCTCCAAGGCTTGTCGGACCTCTTCGTCTGGAATCTTCCCCTGACGTTTCTTCTTATAGTCGTAGTCCAAGCGGCGTCCTTCCAGCTTCTTCAGATGGTGCTGAGGAGAGGCAGGTGTGAGGAGCTCCAGTGACAACCTCGTGAAGTGCACTCAATAACGAAAAGCCTCTGCAGAAGGTCCGGCAAACTTGGGGTGTTCCTCAACACCAAGAACGCAAAGATCGTACTTGGCAAGACCGGTCTTGCTAACCTGGCTCCCAAGAACGAAATTGGGGTGCAATGAATCATGGTATTGGTCTCGATGGGCCAGGATGCAACAGATGGGATTTTTACTACCCTCTGTACTTCTGTTCTTGAGTATTGGAATCGGTCTTCGGCCATGGAAGATGAGGTAAAACAGGTACACAAGAACACAAGTACAGTCAAGTACGCATATTGAGAACCACCCCTGGTCCTGGCACATGCCTAGTCCAGGTCAGGCCCGCCATCTTGGGTGGGCATCTGGGGAACAGGTCCTGGGCCAGGATACAAGGGTCCAGGAGATGACATCATGGGGGCCCAGTTGAAGTCATTTTGTACCAGGCCTGAGAATTATGGGCAGCAGGCTTGGTCCAAGTACTCCTGTGCATCACCCTACACAACTTATTCACTGAGGATTATATATCATTGATTCTTAAGTTATAATGAAAGTGAATACCACGTCTCTGTTGGCGTAACCCATTTTTAATGTATTTGATTCTACTTCCAGCAAATTCATTTTGGAATTGCTCTAAAAGGTTTTTGATACATGCAATATCCCATAAAGCAGGCCTGTGCAGACCTGGTCTTCAGAGAGAAGGATTACTGGGTGTACACAAGGGTCTCGTGAAGCATGTGGACCTCCGTCAGTCACCTGGATCTCCCTGAGGTCCTTGTCAGATAAGCTCTGCAGAGGGTCTATGAAGTTCTGCTTGACGTCAATGTCAAGCGAGTCCTTCACCTCGGCCAGTCTCTTCATGGTCTCCCCTGCATCGATGAGAGCCCCACCTACAGCATGGTCACAGAAAACAAGCAGCTGCCACTGTCTGTTGAGAGAGACTCTGCCCTCCCCATAACTCAATGACAGATTGATTTTTTACAAGTTGCAAGGCAAAAAATTCATGTAAACTTAACTCTAGGACTTGGGGGAAAAATAAAAAAAAACCGTGACCAGAATATTGCGAGCTGCAAGAGTATGGAAAAATGAGAGTAAACTAATAGGCTAAATTACATTACCACATTAGATAAGCAGGCTTATAAATGCCTGAAAAGGAGCAAAACAGCAGCTAAATAAATTGCTTTTTAAAGTATCTAAAAATCCATCTCACATTTACTTGGTTTAATAGACCTTATCCGCTTTAGGGCACGTTCACAAATTCCGTGATGTGATAATACATACAAAACCAAATTAAATTCCATGATGCCATCTCCGCTCTTAGGCTTCTCACATACTACTGCTTCCCTACGGTCACCGTCAAAAGTGGTAAAATAGCTTTTCTGTAATTTTTCAAGGGTGAAAGTAATGTTTAGCGACACTAAGAGTCACTTGTTAACTTGGACTGGCTGGTTCAAGTATGTCTCAGACAAGGAATATGCAAGGATCAAGGATCAAGCGTCAGACAAGGATCATGCCTTGATCTGTAAGTGTTGAAGCAAATATATAAGCACTGTGTTTTGGGCAGTGTGGTTACAAGGGGCAATCAGAGAAAGGAAGCCTGTTACAACGCATGGGCGGTCACTTCAAATGGCTGCCCAGCAGGGGGCACTATGACCTTCCCCAACATAATCGCTGTGTATCATTATAACTTGTCCACATGGCAAGAAGTGTCTTCCTGGAGAGTCTAATGTCATAGCGAATTAGTGGGTATGTCTATTATTGTCAACTTACTGGGCGCCATTTAAAGCTTAAATTTAAAGCGGGAGTAGTGAACAAAATGTGGACTGGATAACATACTACACAAACTGTTTTCTGGAGAAAATATTTATATGACAGATAAGTTAATAAGGGTGTTGAAATTTGAAGTCAGAAATAATAAAAATGTTTTACTGTAACAAACTACTTTTTTGGCATGTATTGGCTTTGGCAAGAACAACTGTATTGAATTTCTGCACTAATGTATTTAATGTATTAAGTGATGCTGACATTGTCGGCTGGCTCGTGGTTGGAGTGCTTGGGGGGGCAGGGGGGTGTCTAGTTTGAAACGTCAGTACTGTTCTACCAACAGAATAAAATTAATGTTAACATGGGTCAGAGTGTAAACGGCACTCACAAAAACATTTCAGAAGCCATGACTGGTCACCACAGAAATACACACACACATACTGATGCACACAGACTGACAGACATGTGCACACACCGATGCAGACACAGACAAACACAGACAGACAGACATACTCGCCCACACAGATGCACGCATGTAGTTTCACACACAGACTGGCAGACATGTGCACACATTCAGACAGACAGACAGACAGACAGACAGACACACACACACACAAAAAGACACAGAGACAGAGACATAAACAGACAGAGAGAGAGATACACACAGACACAAACAGACAGAGACAGACACACACAGACAGAGAGAGAGACACACAGACAGAGAGAGAGACACACAGACACACACAGACAGAGAGAGAGACAGAGACATAGACTGACACAGACAGAGACACACAGAGACAGACACACACACAGGCAGAGAGACACACACAGACACAGACAGACAGATACACAGACACACAGAGACAGAGAGATAGACAGACACACAGACTGACACAGACAGATACACACAGAGACAGACACACACAGACAGAGAGAGACAAAGACCCACCAAAGTTGGTGTCTTCTCCGAGTTCGCGGCCGAACTTGGCCATGCACTCCCCCAGCAGCCCCTCTGCCTGGGGGTAGCCTGGGCTCTTCACCTGGCCCCGGATCTTCGACATGGTGTTCAGCATGGAGAGCTTCGCACGGGACGCTGACAGAAGGGGCCAGATTGTGGCAGAAAGCATGAGGCGGGCAACACTGCGAGGTCAGTAAGCGTCTTCAGCACTGGCCTTGGGTATTTTACAGTACCCAAGTACTGCCAAGTCAATCACTCACCTGGGTTAGGCTGCAGGTACTCTGAGGTTTTGGAGATAATTTCTACCACAGCTTTGCTCGTCACATCTACTTTCTATAAAACAGAGGGCAGGTTGACAACAGAAACACAGACACTAATATGCAACAAGAAACACAAGGATTTGTACAACTTCACATCTATGCAAAGCTCCCAGTTATAAGCTACGTATGTTATGTCAGGCACAACTTATGATACATAGAAAAAAATACTCCATTTCATTCAGCAGAAAGAGAACTAATTTGATAATGAAGAAACCAGGGGATGAACATCTCACTGGAAAACACATCAGAAGGTGATTATTTATTACTATGCAGATTCACAAAATTCAACTATACTGAAGCGAGAGACACAGAAAGTAAGAGATATGATACTGAAAGACATGTCGTCTGAGGCCAGGAAAACAGAAACCGAAAGTGTACTCAAAGTGACACGCAGCTCAGGAAGCAACTCAGTGCAAGGAATCGCAGCGAATGAAAGAAAAGGCCCATTTGTAAATAAATGTCTTATTCTATTCTGTGGGAGGCCCCTTGGCCAGTTCAATTCAGCCCATCTGTTTCTATTCAGTATATCAGGCTTAAAACAAACCAATTGGTCTTAACAGCGAGGATTTCATGTGGGGACAGAAATCAAAATGCAGGACTGTCTACGGATAAGACTTTAATGCAATTAGGAAGTAATTTGAGAATTAAGAGAACCAGAGCCCAAAGGGGAAACAGACATATACACGTCTTAGTTTGTTTCCCATGAAGACCTAAGCACTGATAAACATCTCAAGCACAGAGACAAAGAGCTGTGCTAAATGACTGGCAAACTGGCCTCCACTGGGACAGCCAATCCCACAAACAGGAAGTGCATCACGGTGTGTTCCTGCATCTCAGACAAAGCAAAGCGATGTCACACTCCTGATATTCACGTCGGAGGACTCGGCGAACAGCATATGCTTGTAGCTGTGGCTCACCTTCTCCATGTCTTTAAATTCTTCATCCAGTTTAGTCCCTTCTGCACCGCCAACCTTCTCGCTCACCATCTGCATGCCAGGAGTGGAGACATTGAAAATGTGAACCGCACTGTATCATTAGTCACCGACCTATTGTTTCGTAGTATGATAAACATATCCACAAAAACACCAAATAATGTGATTTTGGGTTCTAAGGCAGTTTCGAAGTAACTGTGGAGACTGAAATGAAAGTCTAAATGTTGCAAAAATCCCATATGCAAAGAACAGCATCTCTGCAGGCCTAGAGAAGACATGACATATATATATATATAACAATGCAACTTTATTTGCATACAGGGAATTTGCTTTGGGGCCTTGGAGCATATGCACACTTAATTATTTAGGAAAAAAGAGGCTGTGCTTAACTGTAACAAGATACTGGATAAAGCTGTGCTTATAAAGAAATCCATAAAATACAATAAAATACAATGAAAATATAAAAGTGTAAGTAATAACCATGTAACACATAAATGTGGAGATTTTGGTGTACCTTCATATTTTCTCACTGAGGTCAAATGGGAAACCCCACTAAACATTTGCAGTTCACTGCAGACTAGATGCAGTATGCATCTTTAAGTGTGTAAAGCACATTAAGAAGCCATTTCAAGAGAATCAACTACGATGAGTATTGAGGAGACTTCACAAGAGGAATTAAGCCACATGATCTACACTGTCCATCAATTTTTCATAACTGTTCATACAAAGCAAGGTGACAGGAAACTGGGAGCCCGTCCCTGGATGCAGGAACCAGTTAAACCCTGGCTGGGATGCCAGACCATCATGGGGCACGCTCAGAGCAGTTTGGAGATACCAGGTTATCTGGGACGTGTCTGAACTATGGGAAACCAGCAACCCCAGAAGAAACCTACATGAACGTGAGGAAAATGTGCAAATTCTAGACATGCAACCCCCTGAACTACTACTCCGTACAGCTACACTATGATTGACACTAAATCACCTAACAGGCTGCCATCGACATTCCCTTTACAGGTTTATTTCTGTGCGTTGAAATATACCGACACGGGTGCTGATGGGAATTAATCGGTAATGTTTCTGTAAACAGCACAGTATCACACAGATAAGTAGTACGTGTGCAACCACAGACAGGGATGTTTAAACAGGGTGCATAAGGGCAAAACATAAAAAAAATAATAATGTAAGACTGGCCAAACTGATGAAGCTGAGTCAAGAGCAAAGTCAAGGTGAAAAACAAACACTAAAATTAAAAGCTAGATTTCTGCTCCACCTGACATGGAGGACAGCAGGACGCTGCACAACACAGGGGACAAATAAGAACAGGACACTGGGTGACAAATGTCAGATGAGGGACACTCCCAATGACACGTCAATGAAGAGCACCGTGAACACGTGACACTCAACACACAGCATATAGAGTGGGGACGTACTCTCCAGCATTTGAAACGAATATTGCTGCGGACTCTGGGGTGACTCAGCCACTTTCCATTGAACTTAACCAAGAGCGCGGGAACGTCGTCCACTACATGAAAAAAAGAGGTCAGTTTAAAAAAAGAAAGAAAGAAGAAAAGTCAAAAGGTCAACACTCAGAATATCACATTTAAATTTAAAATGCACACCAGTTTGCCTTACACAGACTAATATGCCCTAGGTAACCTGGGGAACTGCAGTTTCACAGCATCGCAGATCACATGCTCAGAGATGGAAAAACCCAGCCTCTAGAGCACAACTTAACACATATTTAAGAGAGAAAAAACTGGAATATTAAAAGAAAAAAAGTTAAAGCAGGAAAATCTGTTTTTTTACCCACAGAGAAAGCAAGGCTAAATCTTGGAAAGAAATTAAAAGCACATGGAAGACACTCGACAAAGCGAAAGAAGATTGTTGTCAGAAGCCATGCAGAGGAACCCTGGCTTCCGACGTCCGTCTGTCCATAAGAATTTAAGAGTATCTGCCTTGTGTCAGTGCCGGGAGCAGTGGGAACCTGACAACGTCCAGCGGGCCGCAGGGGACGGGACAGCTTAAGCGGTCTAGCCCTGCTCATCCAGCCGCCCGGAGTGCCACATGTTAATCCCATCTAGCCATTCTGCCACAAGGGGACATTTGACCCACCCCCACCCCCCGCTGCCCATGTTCAGAGCGGTAGATCCTCTCTGCCCTTCATGCTTCCCAGCCTGTAAGGAGTGGTGTTGGGGTGACTCACTTCCACGGACGCAGAATCGATTTGTTCACAGGGGAAGAAAAATAATAGCCAGAGTTGGGGGTGGGGGGGGGGGGGGGGGGGGGGGGGGGGGGTTGGGTGGGAGAAATCTATATTCCATTAAAATTGTTCAAATAAATTTGTACACTCCCCGTTCCTCGCAGCTGTCTCTAAGCCCAGTGGAAAATGGGAAGTTTGAAACTGCACACGTATGTAGGGGCCTCCCCCACCCCCGGAGCGCAGAGCAGAGCCTTGCTGGCGGCCCATCCAACCCCCCCCCCCAGCATTATCGCATTTTAAAGCTCGCCTGTCGTCAGCACAGGGCTTAAATCGGACAGCAACTCGCAATTCACCACTGCTCACAGCTCCTACACGTCACCACAGTATCAGATCACTATTAAAATGGCCGGTCATAATACTATTTCAAAGTATTCTACAGAAAAATACACAAACTTCAAATCTGAGTACACAGAAAACAACTATCAACATTAGCAACACAATACGGGGGTGAAAAGAGGACACCTAAAACAAACAAATTCAAGAAGAACATATTATCCAACAAACTGTAGCATATAACAAAGCAGTTGTGTGGGGAGTAGATGGACTGACAAACACACCCAAATGTATTTATTTAAACCAGGTGTGTGCAATCTTGAAAATGTCATACCAACATTACAGAGCTAGGGCTCGGTCAGATAAAGTGATTTTCACAAATGGCCAATGTGCCATGCCAAAAGAACTCGTCTTTCTCAGCAGATCTGGCATTCGACAAGACGCCTGTCATCGTACCGATGTTAAACTCGCTAAATATGCATGCTGTTATTCAAGGCTCGCTGACTTTCTAACTGAAAATGTTATTTGGCAACGAGATGACATTTTAAATTTGGGCCGCTGTGCCTCCATTTCCAGTCAGTCACTGTGTTAAGTGAATGCATGAAAGTCACCATAGGAAAATGTCTGCTCCCACTGACTTTAAATTATGGAAACAATCTACACGGATCAGCCATAACATTAAAACCACCTGCCTAATAATGGGTAGGGTCCCCCTTGTGCTGCCAAAACAGCTCTGACCCGTCAAGGCAGGGACTCCACAAGACCTTTGATGGTGTCCTGTGTTATCCGGCACCAAGACATTAGCAGCAGATCCTTTAAGTCCTGTAAGTCCCACAGATGCTCAGTTGGATTGAGATCTGGGGAATTTGGAGGCCAAGTCAACACCTTGAACTGTTTTCCATGTTCCTCAAACCATTCCTGAACAATTCTTGCAATGTGGCAGAGAGAGCACTGCTATCGGGGCATATAGCTGCCATGAACGGGTGTACTTTGTCTGCAGCAATGTGTAGGTAGGTGGTGTGTGTTAAAATACCATCCACATGAATGCCAGGACCCAAGGTTTCCCAGCAGAACATTTCCCAGAGCATCACACTGCCTTTGCTGACTTGTCTTCTACCCATATTGGATTCTGGTGCCATCTCTTCCCCAGGTGAAGGACACACATACACCCGACCATCTACATGATGTAACAGAAAACGCATCTCGTTAGACCAAGCTACCCTCTTCCATTGCTCCATGGTCCAGGTCTGATGCTCACGTGACAACTGTAGGCGCTTTCAGCAGTGGACGAGGGTCAGCTCGGGCACTCTGACTGGTCTGCGGCCACGACGCCCCATACACAGCAAGCTGTGATGCGCTGTGTTCCGACCCGTCTGTCACAGCCAACATAAACTTTTTTTGTGACCTGTACCGCAGCGTGTCTCCTGTGGGATCAAATCAGACAGCTAGCCTTCACTCCCCACAAGCATCTACGAGCCTTGAACACTCATGACCCTACCACTGGTTCACCAAACACTTTTGGTATGCACCGACCACTGCATACTGGGAATACCGTTTTGGAGATTCCCTAACCTAGTCATCTAGCCATCACACACTGGCCCATGTCAAAGTCGCTCAGACCCGTACTCTTGCCCATTTTCCTGCTTCCAACACGTCAACTTGAAGAACTGACTGTTCTCTTGCCTAATATATTATGGCAACCTTGACGAGTGCCATTGTAACAAGATAATCAATGTTACTCACTTCGACTCTCAGTGGTTTTAATGTTATGGCTGATCGAAGCATGGCGGCTGGGATTTCCCCTGCTGCAGGACATATAAAGAACGTACTTCACCCTGAACACAAACATTTTTAGCAAACATTTTAAAGCTATTTATGTACATGACATTTGCAAAGACTTACATAAACGCCTTCTTAGTCAACGCATACTAAAATGGGAGATTTATGCACAAACACATGAAACACTCATTTTGATTTATATTAAGCTGCTACGTTTTTCTTGGAGTGTACACACATTTACACACAAACCTCTAGCTTTTATTCAGCAAATATCTGGTTTTCATGTAAACTCACCATTAGATATACAGGTATATGTAAAACATTTAGAAGTGTATTCAGTCTGAAAATATTCTTCTTATGTAGCATCTGTATTGTGTAATTTTTACAATATTCCACATACGTTGTGCATTTTTGAGACCCGCCCCCCCCCCCTCCCCAGGGACACATACACAGGCCCCTTCCCAAACGTGTCAACCACAGATGGAATAAACAGAGGAAACACAGCAGAGTCCGTGGTCTCAAATGTTTATCTCACCAGCTCGCCCCATTCTGCAGACTCACTCTAATATCATGACACACTGCCTCACTATTAGTGAGTATAGTATAAAACTAGCATAATAACATCCCAGAACATTGTTGCAAAATATATAGCCAGTAAAGTGACCATAGATGGTAGCTTATGGTAGAATAAGAAGTTCACCCTTTAAAAAAATGTTACTTTTGCTCATGCAGCCTTTGAGGATTAGGCCTATAGTGTTGGGTGAGTTAGGGGTGAGCATTATTTACACCTGGAAGGTGAGCTTTGTGTTTTCTGAACTTTTTACACAGCTGAACAATAAGACAACTAAGATCCCCACAATCATTTTGTGACAGATGCTTCACAGAACTTTTCTGCCGCTCGTTTGAACGGCTCGATAATTTACTGAATGGGATCTTCCTCTAGTGCACAGCGCAAGCCCATGACCTTAACTGCTGTGCTTACCTGGGTCAAGTCAGAACAATAAAATGTGAGAAGACATCCTTAACATGCTTATGCATGATATATTATGATATATATATTATGCATGATGATGTAAGATAAACCACAACCCAGAGCCTGCATGCTAGATCACCCCATTACACACAAGCACAGACCATGATGGCATTCTAATTCCAGTTCATTATAGTATTTCTGAATGCAAACCAACACATCAAAACATCAAGACTTCGGAAGTGAGCAATCAATCATAGAAATACAAGAAAGCAGGAAAGAAACGCTCTGGGCGTGAGACGGGTGCAGACCACCACAGGGCACATACTACAGGAGATTTAGAGCCCGCGATGCACCACACTGGATGCCTTTGGATTGTGACAGGAAACTCACGAGAACACCTGTGAAAATACATGGAAAACGTGGAAAATCAGAAACAGGGGTGGGAATCGAACCAACAACCCTGGAGGTGTGAAGGCACAGTGCTACCCGCTGAGTCACTGTGCCACCCTACAGCATAAAGGTCCTGCATAAAGTACCAAAGAATTCAAAGGCTGTGCACAAATTATAATAATCCCAAATTTGTCATTTTCACTGAAATTGCATGCCATGCTGTCCATAATTACAGACAACCAGACCTGATTTTCACACATATAAAAACCAGCCCATTTTGGACGCAGCTCTAAACATAATGGGATGTTGCCAGCTTAATTACCTCCTAATGTGCGGTGGTATAAATTCACTAGCTTTCAATATATTTCATACCCATCACGTATTCTGATGCACACATTTCCCACCGATTCCCACTGAAATAGAGGCCTAGCTTTGCATATCACTAAGCAGGCATTGCAGTCTATCTTAACGTCTCATGTGGGAGACCGGGGTATGATTCTGCAGAGAGTTGCCTCCCTACAGATATCAGTACTGTTTTTAATTAGTTATGCCAAGTGGTCCATACATCTAGCTCTCTAGTGCAGCAGGCAGTGATGCGATTAAGGGCAGGCAGGTGTGGCCCAGTGGATTGCATTTCCACTCCCAGGTGGGACCAGGGCAATACCATAGAGTGAAGTATTTGACCCAAATTGAACCAGCTCAAAACTCAGCTATGGAAATAGCTAAAAGAATCATTTGTTGAGTTGGCAGTTTTACTCAAATTTATGTAATTATATTCACATACTTCTCTTCGCCTGATTGGCAAGGGCACATTAAGAAGTAAGACGCTATGCACACACAAAGTACAGACACTCAATTTCCTGAATTGAGTAGCACATTTTTAAATAAAATTATTACTGAATCATTACATTCAGCTTTACATCCACACTTGATTAGTAGCATAATTACTGTGGCATCTGGATAGACCAGAGAGAGAGAATCCATGAAGCGAGTCTGGTTAAGGTGCAGTTCCTTTTGTCACACTCCGCTATACTGCATACAGAAATTGGCTTATGAGGCTCAAAAGACACACTTATGTAGGGGTTTCCTACGAGGGCGAGAAAGGAATAGCAACACAGAGAAATGAATGGAAGAACAATACAATTTAAGGGTATTTTTCCCTTGAGACTGAAAATCTCACAATAACGGCATGATTAAAAAGTACGCAGTGCAAAGCAGTTTGTTGTCTATTCCTGTGTCGATGAGAGGAAAAGTGCCAAGAGACGGATTGGAGGGCAAACGCACAGAGGTTATCACAGCAGCGTCCTGCAAGACAATGGGTCTGATGGCAGCTTAAAGCAGCATAAGGACAAAGCAAATGATTACACAGGAAAACAAGTCAGAGGCAGCATTAGGAGAAGTTTCCCAGGACTCTGATGTAAGATGTAGCACAAAGCAAGAAATGTAAGGCCTGTCGAGAGCAGTTATCTTATCAGTCAATTGTTGAACTGAGAGGAGAAGGTAGGCCTATGTGTGGGAGTCAGCTGGCCCCAAGGTGAAGACAGAAAGTCAAGCAGATCCTTCATGCAACTACAAATTACGAGCAATGATCCACGCGTGAGCAAAAACAGCAGTCACCAGCCCCGCCATTTAAATGCAGGAGCCCCAGAACCCAGCCTCTGCCCAGACTTGACTGAAGTCAGCTCGAACAGAGAAGGCACACCGAACTGACAGTGTTTAAACTGTGCGTGAAGAACCTACATCTCTATTTGTTCACTGAATCAACAAACCTCATGTCACATATACTTCCCTGCAACCAAACCATTATTTCAAGATGCTCAAGTTTCTACTGTCAAAGGCAGAAAGACAAAAAAAGACATTCTACATGGTGCATGTGTCACATGGCCGTGTTTGTAAGGTTGTCTTTTAGCAACTCGTAAGACAGAGGCAGAGATGACAGAGCACGAAACCGATGTCAAACTGGAGCAGATTACGTTCATCAGGTGACAACCCCCCTGAGCATTTCTGTCAGGACACCGTTACCCTCATGACTGAGATCACACTCACAGTATACTCCCCCACTGCATAGCAAGGGCATAAACGCACTGGCATCACAATATGGGTGCCTTAGTATTTGCCAGTTAATCTGGCGTCTGTTCACAGCTCCTCCAGCAAGCTTCCACTGCCAGAGAAGCTGCCAGTCCCCCCAGCAGCCTGTTAGCAGCACACCCAGTGTCTCGCTCCTTTAAATGCAAGATGAAGCCACCAGTAGAACCCCCCCCACCCGCCCACTCCTCACTGTTTTTTTGTTTTGCTTTCCTGTTTTATAAAGATCTCCTCATTGGGAATCTGGACCAGATCTGGACAGAAAGTCAGTGACAAATGGGATTAGATCTTCATCATTAATACCCACACCCATCTACTGACCCTTGATTAGTGCAGAGATGCATCATTAGACCTTTTTTTCTGATTTCCAAACTGAAAACTCTCTAAATCACACAAGCACTTCCTGTTTAAATATGCACCACCCCACCTCTGATCAAGCTGGCTGGCTCAACTGGTACATAAAAAAACCAGTTACAGATTATGTGTTATCAAACATTTTTTTTAAAAATCATAATTTGTGCACGATAATGTGTTTATCGATAGAGAAGGGTTCCATTTCAAAAAGTATGTAAGATATCAACTTAGATATATAAATAAATGTCTCCTGTCACCTTGATAAATGTATGTCTGGCAAATTTGTAAAGTTACAAAAAGACTAGGAATAAAAAATTTGAAGTTTTTTTTTCCCCCCTTCAGTTTGGTGAGTCAACTGTATGACAAACTGACCACAGTCTGCAAACAAAGCGGCAGATATAAAACATGCACCAAAAGATGCACTGGAATCACAAACAACCTTTCCGATGTACTGCAACCATTTACTGCAAACAATCATGACTCAGCAGAAATTGCACACATTTAATTTGGGTACAATGTCATTTTAAAAATGTAATTTACTGCTTCCCTTTGGATGCAAGATAAGACAGCAATTGAACATCTTGTAACAGTATTACGGTGTGTACACACATAATGTATTTATTAATATATGTGCTCTCTTAAGGGCAATACATACATCGACAGATAGATAATAAATAAATCTGGCTGCATTTGCAGAGTATAATACATAGCACAATGATAAACATTAAATAAATGCAGCAACTGCTCAGCCAACGTTGCCAGTCAAGATTTAATGCAGTTCTAGTTCAATAGTCTATACACAATGAATCATCATGCACACCGTTATTATTGATGGTGACCTGATACTACAGGTAAGTTAATCCATCTGCCGTAGCTTAAGTATTAATACTCTACGTCTTCCGGACAAAATACCTGGTGAGGTTTTAAACCGTCATTATATTGCATTTCGCTGCTTAATTGTTTTAAAAGGTTAATTTGTCTGGGATTAATTTTTACACGAATATAAAGGTGAGGCATCGTCGAGTATTAATAATGCGTAAAAAATCATTATTAAGGACCAATGCCTCTGCTTACAGCCACATTCCAAACTTCATCATTTTTATTAATCGATAAAAAAATCTTAAGCCTCAGATACACCAAGCAATACGCCCACTTCAGCAGTATGCCAACACAAACGCAGGGCCGCCCCAAAAAGCCAATGTATCTTGCAAATTAAAAACTATTACCACATATAACACAAACAACGACAAGCATCATCGATCAGAAAGGTTGACAGGACTTCGCAGCTTCTGACAGCGAGTAAATCTCAGTCAGACAACATCGAGACAGCGACTTGTTACGTAGCATTTGGGCAGAAAATGCAACACGTACGAACTATGGCAGCTGCCAAGCTAGCTAAGCCATTTAAGAATACATGTACGAACAAGCAGGCAAGTTATCGGCTAGCTATGTGATTTATGGGTCTGACTACAAGCTTTCCGTGGTTAGCTGGGGGACCTAAACTTAACTGTAGGCAGTAGTCGGGTAGAAGTAACTTAGCCAGGTCCAGCTTACCAACAGCATTACGTAAACACTACTGCAGACCACAAAACTGCTATACGACTATAGACTGAGGCGCACACAGCGGGGTATGTAAAGTGGCATGATTATAGATACGTCGCAGGAAAAGAGAAACTGACGCTAGTTCATAACCAGCACTGCCACTTATGAAGGTAAAAAGAAAGTTGGTGGCTGACCTGACTCGCTTTGTAAAATTGTTTCCTCAAGCCCGCCACAGACATCTTGGAAGCGGACTGTCCTCTCAACACGGCCGTTTACTTTTTTTTTTTAAAAAACTTCCTCGCAATAAAAAAAGTCGCTAATTTGCGCGACTTGTTTCCAGTCGACATACACTCGCAGCCGGCGCTGCTCTCCCTGCCCAGTCAGGATATTACATGGCAACCGCGAGGACTTCCTGTTGCCGGAGCGTATACGGACATTCCAGGCACGGGGAAGCGCGAGCAGGAGGGGCTCGGGGAGCAGGAGGGGCTCGCGCTCGGCCCTAGGGAACAGGTGGGAACATAGCGCCCCTTCTCCTCCAGGTGGCAGTATACAGCCTCATTCTATTCAGAACCCCGCTGCTCATACAAACCGCCATTTGAGCAGTAGGGTTAGCGCAGATTCTATTATTTGTGCAGCTATTACGTGTTTAAATGGTGTAAATCCCCGTGCGCTAAAAGTAAACCATCGCAGCATGTGCCGAGTAATCAGTATTTCCAGTGATTAACTTAAGTATACCTTGTTGAGTTTCACAGTCAATGAGAGTTGGCAGTATTTCTGTGGCAGTTCCAATCCCCTTCTAGATCCACCATGGCCCACTAACGCTAAATTACATGTAAATGCTCTTTTACTGTTGATAACGTTAAAAATTAGTCTCTTTTGGCCTTAGGTTGTGTGCAGTGGCTTTTCAAGAAAACGGCTAAAACAGTGGCAAGTGGAGATAGAGTTTGGTTAAATTAGTAGTCCTGCAATTGTGCTGCCATGATTTGTTTAGATAGTAACCTGGACTGCTGCCTATATACAAAGGAAAACAGTGATTTAGCTGTAAAGTCTCAGTCTCTAAGTGGCAGAGTGCCACTGATCTCCTAGGAGATGTGATATATTGTTGTGATCCATGCATCTCTGCATTCCTTGGACTTATACCATGGTAGCTCCATTTTTAAGCACCCTAGGAACAATTACATCCCTCTGGGTTTTCCTTGTAGCTGTGAAACATCTAAATTAGTTGAATAATAGGTCCACCAAAGGGTAATTACTGTACACTGAAATAATTGATTCTTTTCACATTGTATTGTCATTTCTTATTGTTTCTGTAGTGTCACTGGAAATTTAATTTCGCTATTCATGCCTTCTTAGGCTACAATTTAGAAAAAATTTATTAAAAACCTTAAATTCTTTCATTCCGCTTGTGTTCTGGCTGTTAAATGTGGGATTGTATCTATTTGCAGTCTGACCTATACTTTGAAACTGATATTAAGTCCTTGTATGCAATTTGTCTGTCATTAGCTGTGTTTTATTCTGGATCAAAAGTATCAGGTAAATTTTTCATGAAGAGGCAAGAAATACCAGGTGCAAGCAAGACGTACTGTACAACTGCTGTGTACAGTATGTACGTACAGTACGTTTGCACAGTTTATCCTTAAGGCCAGATCTTGCAATTTGGTTTGTTATGCAAACCAGATCATCCTTGTTGAAGTAACTAATTCAAGTAATTCTACTTTGGGAGACAGACTAGTATAGTGTCCTTTGGATGAAAATGCATAAATATGTAAGCCTAGTTCAAGAACTAGGAATGATGTAGGAAATCTGCACATTAGTCAGCATAGAGTATACAGCTGTAGGTCTTGTAGGAAAAAGGTATCAGTCTCACACTCAAATGTGAGTCCTTACCTTGATTTGACAAGCAGAAATTTAGTTAATACTGGATGGTTGAGTAATATCTGAGGCTGGTAGGTGAAACCACACACATCTGTATAACTACTGGTCTGGGCTCCAAAACCAGTAGAAAATGTCAACCTGCAGGTTGAAATTGAAAGATCCTCCTCCTGGAACAGGAGAAGCACTGCAATTCTCCCACAATTGCTTATGAATGAATCTATAGTTGTAACTTATATGGTCCAAAACATCTGAGGACAGTTGGACAAAATGTATGAGGTGAAAGCCTTGACGTATATGTCAGCCAAACCTACTACTGAAAGATAAACATCTTATTATGTGGTAACAGTAATATTCTCTGGAGACCCAATGACTTTTAAGAAGGGGTTGAATATTTCACAGATTACCTTCAATCCATTAATCCAAAGAACTGCGAATATTGGCAGAGCTCCCAGAGTCTCCTTAGCGACCCGGGGATGAAGGTCTCAATAAATTGATTCAACAGTAATGGTGAGGAGAAGTAAAGGAAGGAATCTGAAGGAGAGTGTTACTGGGGGAACAGCTACAAAAATCCCATAGGCCTCAACTTCCATTTACCCCAGATTAAATCTGGGCAGTATGGTAATACTACAGTGCACAGTATGGTCCATGGAAAAACGAAGGAGGATTCTTAGAGCTACAGTGTCAGAAAAAAGAACCAATTTGTACCTTTGAGGGTACAATTACTTGTCACTGAGGCTGTACCCTCAAGGGTCTGCCAATTGTACCTTAGCTGTAGGTAAATGTACCTTTTAAGGTACAGAAATGGACTCTGGGGAACATTTTTGTACAATTGGGGGTACATTAATGTCGTTTGTACCTTGGGATATAAAATCGTATCAGAGCTGTAGCCTTTTTTTCTCAGTGTAAAACCACATGGCAACACAGGAGATAACTCAGGTCTAAGAGTCCAGCAAGCAAAATACCCAAGATTAACCTATGAGAAGAGACCAATTAAACTTCTACAATGCAGTCACAATAATGGAATAATACAGTTTTAAAAATCAATATAGAAAGAGATGAATAGAACAATAATAATGCAATAAAGCAGCTGATAAGAAGACATATGGAAATATGCTGTCAGACAAATAATTAGAACATCATCTATTTAGTATAGAGAGACAGCAAGAGAGAGCATGGTATTTGGGAAAGAGATTTGTGATGTAAGAAAGCTCCATTTCTGCACTTTTCATTAAGCAGCATCACTGGAGAAAATGCAAGCAAATTGAGAAAGGAACAGGGAAGAAAAATATCACAGGAAGATGCCACGTTAACATGATGTTAAAGGGCAGCGGGATGTTTTACTCCACAGGACAGTGACTCAACAGCTGTTTGCCATTCTGAAGCAAGGAGGGGTTTGGAAAATGGAAGCACGACAGACCAATACCGTTTCCCTTGTGATCTTAATTAAAGATTCTCGTTACATCAGCTGCAGGTCCAGAATAAGAGCATTAAATCGTCAGAGGACAGCGCCATGAAATGCCACAGGAAGGGGTTTAATGAATCATGAATGTTTGGAGGAAATATCAAAAGGGAAACGGGGTAATTGTTTTGGGAGGCTTCTTTCAAATTCAGCGTGCAGCCATCTTAACATCGACTGTTTCCGTGCTTTATGTGGCTTCTGATAATGTATAGTGTGCAATGAATATGGTGAAGGGATTGGATAGGAAAATCAAACAAGCACCTTCAAATTAGGCTGGCCTTCCCGGCGCTTCAGCTTAATGGGTCCCTGTTATTGTGTGACGTGGATTTCTACAGCTTCTTCCATCCATCCATCCATTATCTTATCCTACTGGGTCGCGGGGGGTCCGGAGCCTATCCCGGAAGCAATGGGCACGAGGCAGGGAACAACCCAGGACGGGGGGCCAGTCCATCACAGGGCACAGCTTCTTCCATGGTAGTGAAAATAGCTTGGGAAAAGTTGACCGCGGTATCGTGGCGAGGACAGGATTGTGTGACTTTGAAAGGTACCACATGCAGGCTGGTTTAACCTGAGAGGGAAGCACTTGCAGCAGCAGGACTAAGCTGACTTACCAAAGACGGGAACTATGATCAAAGCAGAAATTAGCGGAAGCAAAGCCTTAAAGCAGCAGGGCTTGTATCACAAGTTCCCCAGACTAACGGGGAGCCCAGTAAGAGGGAAATAACGAAGGGAGAGTCCGGGAGGCAGAAGCCGTTTTGATTCCACTTCCTGCGTCGATGGCCTGCCAGTACCAACATGCCTGTATGGGCGGGGAATGAAGGAGCCAGACACTGCGGCATTAGGGGTAGTATAGAATACATCCAAAATGGCTAAATGAAATCTGTACATCATGGGGACCGAGAAAAGTAGTTAAAAAACATCTGGTTAAATATCCCTTATAGTTGATTTCTTGGTATACTCTCAGATAATATACAGCTGTGGGGAGAGGGCAGCAAAAGTGTACAGAGATACAAGGCTGCAGAATCAGAGGACTATAGATTGTCCCCAATGGATAGGGCAGCGCATCCAGAATGCCTAGTACTCAAGGTTCTGTAAGACAAAGCTGCTAAGCAGCCTAATAGCTGAGGAAGAGAGCTGGAATCATACCTGGTTTGCTGTGGAGTGGGGGGGGGCATGCTGGAAAGCAGAGGAGACCCCACTAACAGGGATGGTTTAGAGATGGTATGGGTCAAACACCTGAGGGAAATGGGACACTGGGCTTCTGGCCTATAACACCAATCAAACCCAGCATTGGGCTTCTGATCTATAACGCCAATCAAACCCAGCATTGGGCTTCTGATCTATAACGCCAATCAAACCCAGCATTGGGCTTCTGGCCTATAACACCAATCAAACCCAGCACTGGGCTTCTGGTCTATAACGCCAATCAAACCCAGCACTGGGCTTCTGGTCTATAACGCCAATCAAACCCAGCATTGGGCTTCTGGTCTATAACGCCAATCAAACCCAGCACTGGGCTTCTGGCCTATAACGCCAATCAAACCCAGCACTGGGCTTCTGGCCTATAACGCCAATCAAACCCAGCACTGGGCTTCTGGCCTATAACGCCAATCAAACCCATCACTGGGCTGCTGGTTTATAACACCAATCAAACCCAGCACTTGCCTTCTGGCCTATAACACCAATCAAACCCAGCACTGGGCTTCTGGTCTATAACACCAATCAAACCCAGCATTGGGCTTCTGATCTATAACGCCAATCAAACCCAGCACTTGCCTTCTGGTCTATATCACCAATCAAACCCAGCACTTGCCTTCTGGTCTATATCACCAATCAAACCCAGCACTTGCCTTCTGGCCTATAACGCCAATCAAAC